TGTATTTCCAGTTCTATGGAGGAAACAAACCCTGGATCTCGTGGCACCCACCCGCTCCCCTTCCTGAAAGTCTGGTGACATACAGTCAGTTCTCGTTATTCACAGTAGTTATGTTCTATAAAGTCACCACCTACCCTCCATTAGTGAATTCTGAATTGTTGCTCCTAGAGGAAATACGGGGTTAGGTTCCTATGAGCTTCTGGTTACATTTTCATCAACCAATCAATACATAACCTTATGTTATAGTGTTTTCTGTTTAAAGACACCTTATTTGATATATGTTGCTGATCCATTGACACTGAACTTGCAGCCACCAGCATTATAACTCGTGCCTGGACAAAGCTTATCTAACACGTGTTTTCCCCATAGGGCCCATCACAGCCTTCTCTTGCTTAGGAACGCTAGATCAGCACCACACATGGGGGCCGTTTCAAACAGCTAAGTCACCAACAAAAGGCACAAAAATGTGAAAAACATACATAGCCTAGAAGAAGGACACTTGTTTACAGCAGGAGCACTGAAACAAGATAGCAGAGCGTCACTTGCTCAACCCCAACTGGGAATGGGCATGTTGGGCAACTCAGATTTTTTTTGCTGCTCTGGGCGTGTTCACAAACGATCCCAAAAGAGCTGTGAGTATTGACTTTGTAATTACAAATATACTTGAGGGAGCAGGCGAATTCACAAATACAGAACCTGTAAATAATGAGGATCGACTGAGTGTTTCCATTCTGAGCTGTCTCTCGTTCTCCATGTCTTCTCGTAGGTCTCTGGGCCAGTGGTTCGGCCATTTCCTGTCCAATAAGATGAACAGTCACTAGGACTGCCATACTGAAGCTTATTATGGGCCAGGTAGACCTGCCACCAACATTTGCAGGGCCCAGGGCAACAAACTTGGGGTTGACCAACTGTCCCAGTCTGTCTGGGACTGAAAATTTTCCCAGGATGTAGGACTTTCAGTGTCCCAGGAAAGTCCCAGGCAATCTGGGATGAGTTGGTCACTCTACATAACATGAAAACCATGTAAAAGTTTTAAATCTAGGTTATTTAATACTACTGAAAATTAAAATCTTATTAAATATTTTTACCAAAATAAAACTATTTGCAATTCTACTGTCTCATAACCATCTAGTTGCAAAGTAAAGAGGAGGTGTCAAATTTCATGCATTTTGGCCAACCCTGTGAATACACAAGCTTAATAGCAACATGAGTTGCTTAATATCGCAAAATGCTCCTCAGCCTTTGTGGACAGCTACTGCCAATCTATCCCACATTACACAGCAGGCACCATGAATTAGAACATGAAGGGCCACAAGCAAATGGATGCCTGCTATTTCTGGGAAATGCCAGTTCATTATGCAACGTCCACTGCTTCCCTGCTATCTGACAAAGATCCGACCAGTTAATTCATCTTTTCTCTTTCCTAAGCCCTCCGCCTCTCAGTCCTCCCCATTCTTCCGAGCAGGGTATAGGTCTGACGTGAGCAGGGCACAACCACAAATCTTTGCACCATGGGGAAGCCACCGCATTTTCTTTTGGGGAAATAGATCAAGAGATGCAGACAAGTGTTTCTCTATGGCCTGAACAGTAAGATCAAGATAGAGGATGTTTGCAGCTCAGTGTTCTGGCAACTGAGGCTGGATCCCAACCGCAGGAAGGGCCACGTGTGGGTGCATGGGTGTGAGCGAGACAGAGACACAGAGAGAGAGAGAAGGTGACCCCGGGCAGGGACCCCTGCTGCTCAGGGCTCAGGGTGGTTGTCAGGCACTGACTATGTGTGTTCCCCCCAAATTTATATGTTGAAGCCTTAACTCACAATGTGAGGAGGGCTTTGGGGCTTTGGGTGGTAATCAGGTTCAGGTGAGGATGTGAGGATGGGGACCCCTGGTGGGATTACCATTCCTATGAGAAGAGGAAAAGAGACCAGAGCTCTGGCTCTCTGCCATGTGAAGACAGCAAGAAGGCTTCTGTCTGCAAGCCAGGAAGAGGGCTCTCACCAGGAATGGAATCAGCCAGTACCTTATCTTGGACTTCCCAGCCTCCAGAACTGCGCTGTTGTGTAAGCCCCCCAGTCTATGGTATTTTGTTACGGCAGCCCGAGCTAAGACAGTGGTGCTGCCCGGCACTGTGCCAGATGCTTCTGTCCATCACATTTAACTTCTCAATGACCCTCTGGGGTATAATAATAAATATCTCGTTCCTTTTTCCCTGGTTCCTAGCACACAGCTCCCAAAACTCTTGGAATCTCTGGAGGGATGGGCGTCTTTTCAATGCTAATGAGATGACTGGTGGCCCCTAAACAGCTTCAGGATGGGGACCAGTCACCAGAAAGAACAAGTCTTGATTAGAGGGTTGGAACTTTCAGCCCACCCTTGACCTCTGGGGAGGAGAGGAGGGCTGGAGATTGAGTTAATCACCAATGGCCAGTGATTCGATCAATCACGCCTATGGACTGGAATTTCCATAAAAACCCCTAAATGATGGGTTCAGAGAGCTTCCAGGTTGGCGGACACATAAACGTGCCAGAGGGTGGCACTCCTGGAGGGGGCACGGAGGCTCTACGCCTCTTCCCCATGCCCCGCCCTATGAATCTCTTCCATTTGGCTGTTCCTGAGTTATATCCTTTATAATAAACTGGTAATTGTAAGTCAAATGTTTTCCTGATTTCTGTGAGCCGTTCTAGCAAATTAAAGAACCCAAACGGGGGAGTGCTGTGGGAACCCCCTACATTGTAGCCAAGTTGGACAGAAGTGTGGGTAACCTGGGGACCCAATTTGCGGCTGCCTTCTGAAGTGGGGGCTGTCTTGTGGGACTGAGCCTTAAAACTATGGGGCCTGTGCTAACTTTGGGTAGTCGGTGTCAGAACTGAACCGAATTGTTGGACACTGGCTGATGTCAGAATTAGTTGACATCTGAGAGTTGCAGAAGTGGTGTTGGAAAAGACACCACGTAACTGGTGTCAGAAGTGTTGTAAGTAAAAACAGCTTACTCCACAGTTGTTTTCTCTCCTATGGTACAGAGATGGAAACTGCAGCTCTAAGAGGTTAATGATGCCTGCAAGCTCTAGTTAATGCTAGGGAGCAGAGAAGCCAGCATGGCTGCCAGGTCCCCTGATGTCAAAGCTCATGACTCACCATCCTAGTTACAGGATCCTGGTCTGCCCCACTGGGGCACTGGGCAAGGGGCTGAGAGAGCCAGACCATGGGACCCTGCTCAGTCCTTTCTTCTCTTTGTCTGGAGAAAGGGGGAGAGGCCACTTGCTGCCAACGTGCAGCAATGAGGAGGTGACCCCTCAGCCCCGCTCCTTTTCCATCCACATCTGGGTCACACCAGGGAGGACAGGTGTCCCACGCAGCTGACCACGAATGTGTGTCAGCGGACAGGAGGAGAACATGAATGCCTGTGGCTGGTGGCAGGATGGCTCCTCTGGGGCCTGTACTCATAGCCTCTAATTCCTGCCCTCGGCCTGGCCTTCCTGTCTTCAGCCCTGAGAGTAGTCATGCAATGCAGGAGGACTGGCAGGTGCAGAAGGAAGGGGTCCCCGGTGAGGACCATGAGGCTAGAGATTGTGGCTCCAGCTGACCCTGAGGCAGCCTCAGTTCTCTGACCCAGAAGCTTCATTTCTGTCCCTGCTCTGAGTGGGAGGTGGGCGTGGAGGACAGTCAGTCTGGGCAGGCCTGTGAGTGCCCCCCGATCCCCACCCCAGCAAAGCCAACATGGTCAGCAACAAATGGAGGGACCTAATCCTTCCTCGTTCTGGGCCTCTGTCTGTGAAGTGTCTGTGTGACGCGGCTGCTAGACCAGGTGGTCACTAAGGACCTGCAGCTCCCATGCCCTGGCATTCCGGTCCATAGACGACGAGAGAGAGAATGACCCACCCTAGAGGTCTGCAGTCTCTGAGGCAGCCCAGCCTGTCTCTGCCCTGCTCCTGGCTCCTCACCCCTCCAGGCATAGGCTCAGCAAAAGCAGGAAGTGTCGTGGACTTGGGAAGCTCTGCTGGGGGGGGGGGGGCTGTCATATACAACCCACATGTCCAGGCACTTCACAGGTGACATTCTGAATCCTGCCAGCCACCCCACCTGCCGTGTTACAGATGAGGACACTGAGGCACAGAGAGGGGGAAGCCGGATTCCAAAGCAGACACTCTGCACTCTCTATGGGCCTTGATGGAGAAAGGAGGAGGCTTCTCTGTCCATGCCAGGAGGGGTAGGACGCCCAGTAGACTCGGATTGCTGGCTGTGTAACTCGGGGCAGATGCCTGACTGCCCTGCATGGGCCGCTGGGGAAATCCTCCACGCAGTGCCGGACACATAGGTCAGTGAGCAGTTTAGCCTTTCCTAGGGCACCCCGAATCATGTAGGCCTGAGCCTCCCCAACTCCCACGTTCCTGCACGGGCCCCTCCCCCCTGCCGGCAGCGGCTCCTCACAATTTTTACTTACAAGTGAAACTTAGAAATGGAAACTTCGTGTTACTATCGCTAGATGAAAAGATCTCTACCACTTGCCGCGAATCACCCAAAAAAAACTGCAAGAAAACAAGGCAAAGACATTAAATTCTCCTTAGATGCTGGTGTCTGCTTAAGGCTTGCCGTCCCCACGTAGAAAGAGAAAAGGATTATTAAGGACCTAAGTGGGCAACCGCTGGGATGGAAAGGAACCCAGGACATCCGCTGTCACGTGGTTATGGAAAACCTCTCTCCACCCTCGCCGGGCGCCAGGCCTCCCCCTCTCCCTCCTCCGCCCCCGCCCCCACCCCAGGTCGCGGAGGAGGGAGGGGTGGGCGTCCTGCCCCCTATTGGCCCGCCCACCGACTCATTTGCATGGCCCGCGGGGGCGGGGCCTCCGGGTGACGTCACGCAGAGGCTGCCTGCGCCGCGGGCGGAGGCCCACCTGAGAGCCCGCGGGCGCGCAGGCCGGAGCGGCGGCGGAGCTGACCGCAGGCCCCGCACACGGACGCGGACGCGGACGCCGGACCCCGGCGGAGCAGCGGCGGGCCGGGAGCTCGGCCCCCCGAGCCACCGCCGCTATGTACGACCCCGAGCGCGGCTGGAGCCTGTCTTTCTCGGGCTGCGGCTTCCTGGCCTCGTACCACATCGGGGTGACCTGCTGCCTGAGCGACCGCGCCCCGCACCTCCTCCGCGACGCGCGCATGTTCTTCGGCGCCTCGTCTGGAGCGCTGCACTGCGTCACCTTCCTGGCGGGGATGTCGCCGCGTACGTCCGGGGCTGCTGCCGGGCTCCGCGCGGGAAGGGGGCGCCCCCGGCCGGGGTGCGGGCAACCCCTAGGGGTCGCGGGGCGCCCGCTGGAGCCGATTGGACATGGACACTGCGGAGTACATCCCAGAGGGTCCCTCCCCAGACAGATGCCTCCTTCACTGCGTCCTCTCGCCCCGCGACGGAGGGCTTTGTCCCCCGGCTTGGGAAGGGGCACGCCTGGGGAGCGCCTCCCATGGGCGTGAGAACCCTGAGCGCATCCCCGCCCCAATCCCCCTCTGGCGTCCGGGCCTGAAGGAAGCCCCCACCCCGGGACTGAGAGCCGGGTCTTCGGGGAGCGACGGGGAGGAGGCAGCCCGACCAGGCGTGGACGGAGGGTGGAGCGGGTTCCTGTGTTCCCCGGCATCTGCGGGGAGGCGCTGGCGAGCTGAGCTGCCGAAGGGAAGGGCCAGTTTGCCCTGGGTCCGACCAGAAGGGGGTCGTTGGCCTGTGTCTCAGGGTGTGCGCCTTCTTCCTTCTGGAGACTAGAGGGACTGCAGACACTCTCGCCCCGGGCGCCTCTGGTCCCCGCAGACCCCTCCAGGGGCTAGGTGCCTCTCAGGGAGAGGGCTTCTCTTCGGAGTCCTCTTGGGCAGACGTGCTGCTTTGGAATTGGGGTGGGGTTGGGGGTATGAGTTTATCTCCTCTCCTCCTTTGCCCGTGTTTGAGACGCTGCCTGGGGGCTGGAGGGGATCCCTGGACATCCTCCGTCCCATCCTCTTCTCCTCTCCACACACACCCTGCTCAGCGCCACTGGAAATGAGGTTCTGTGCATTTGATTCTTGTCCTAATTAAACATCTGTCCATGTGGGTGCCCGTGGGGGGAGGTCGTGGGGCTTGTGCCCAGCTGGCCCAAACTACTAGGTTATATCATTCTGGTCTGGGGTTCGGAACCAGGGGGCGGGGCCTGGAGCAAGTGGTCGCCTGGAGCTGTTGGCACCCAAAGGTGCCACACAGGAAGATAATGCACCTTATCAGCCTCTGTTTATCTGGGCTTACTTAACAATTTACTCTTTGCTCTACCTGGGGACTGCTGTGTTGGGCGCCACCAGCAGGGAGTGACTTTGTTTCTGGTGGCCAGGAATCCCCTACCAGTAGGTGCAGCCTTGTCGTTGGATAGGATGAGTGAGCAGACCCTGGGCTGGCCCAGAGGTGGGGATTTGGAGGGAGGCCACTCTGGCTGCCTTCTCCATTGAGGGAGAGAGGAGCAAAGGGTAGGAAGTGTGACCTCGGGGAGGAGTAGACTGACTACATAGCCAGTCTGCACACCCTGGTTTTTAACAATGATAAAAGCCAGCCCTTGTATCCCCAGGTGACCTGAAGACACCCTCATGGTTGAATGTTTAGTTGGGACCAGTTTCATATGCACTGGCCCCAGCACCTGAAGGACACTGATTCCACTGTAGAGGGTCCTAACTGGCAGAGGACAGGTGCAGCCTGGGGCCATGCCCTGCAGGACAGGAGGAGGCCTGGGAACCACCACGTCCTTGGAAAGTAGGTCTGGAGGTTTCTGCAGGAGCTGGTCCCCAGGTTCCTGCTTTAACCTGCTGTCTCACTTGGGGACTGTGGAGGAGCATTTCCCAAGGACTTCGACTTGGGCAGAGCTCCTGAGGGTGCATGTAAGTCAGGGCTGACTTGGCAGGAGAGACTGGCAGAACCTGCCAGCTGTGTGCAAATTCGCCCCTCCTGTCCCGGGCTCTGTGGGGCCACCATGCAGGGAGAACTGAGTAGAGGTCAGAGGTTGGGTCAGGATGGGCTGGCGCATGTCTGTCCTTCTGCATCCCAAAATTTATGACAGGCCAGGTCTCAGGCTGAGACAGGTGCTCCCACATGCCAAGGTGTTGCAGATCAGCCCCAGGGAGCCAGGCCAGTGAATGAGGTCAGAGGGAGCAAGAATGTGCCCCACGCCCACTAGACATTCTGATCATTCTGGTGTTAGAGATTAAAGGTTAAGTCTAGTTATTTTATTTATTTATTTATGTATTTATTTTTGTGTGTGTGGAAGATCAGCCCTGAGCTAACATCTGCCAATCCTCCTCTTTTTGCTGAGGAAGACTGGCCCTGGGCTAACATCCCTGCCCATCTTCCTCTACTTTATAGGGGACGCCGCCTCAGCATGGCTTGACAAGCGGTGCGCCAGTGCACGCCCAGGACCCGAACCCCGGGCCGCCACAGCGGGGCGTGTGCACTTAACCGCTATGCCACCGGGCCGGCCCCATTAAGTCTAGTTATTTTTTTAGGAGCCTCCTCTGGGTTGAGCACCTTACAGATTGTATTGTATCTAATCCTCTCTGTCTCCAAAAGATAGGTAAATATTGTCCCACGTTAAAAACACACAGTCTGGGCCGGCCCCGTGGCCTAGTGGTTAAGTTCCGCATGTTCCGTTTTGGTGGCACGGGTTTGGTTCCTGGGCTTGGACCTACACTGCTCATCTGTCAGTGGCCATGCTGTGGTGGCAGCTCACATGCAAAAAAAAAAAAACAGAGGAAGATTGGCAGCAGATGGTAGCTCACGGTGAATCTTCCTCAGCAAAAAAAAAAAAACAAAAAACACAGTCTGAGACTTAGAGAGGCAGTGAGGTGGCTTACTGAGGTCACTCAGCTAGTAAGAGGTGGAAGCAGGATTGAAACTCAGGTCCAAGCCTGCACTCCTCCTCTGCTCACTACAGTGTCAGCCCCATCTGTGCTGCAGCCCCGATGCTGATGAGTCCCTGGCTTCTGGCTTTGAGGGTGATGGAGGTGAAGAGAGAGCTCACCTGGGCCTGTAGAGGCTCGGTCCCGTGACCAGGACCTAGAGCAGCACTGTCCAGTAGAAGTAGAGTGCAGGCCACAGATGTCATTTTTTATTTCCCAATAGCCACATGGAAAACATAAAAGACACAAGTGAAATTAATTTTATTTATCCCAGTATGGCAAAATATTATCATTTTCCCATCTAATCAATGTAAAACATTATTAATGAGATATTTTTCATCCTTTTTTTGTACTAAGCCTTTGAAATCCAGTGTGTGTTTTACACATCTCAATTTGGACTAGCCATGTTTCAAGGAATCATGCGGCTCAACATGTGTGTGGCTGCCGTGTTAGATGGCAAAGGCCTAGAGAAAGGTTGGCAGCTTCCTTGCTGTCAGGTTTCTGGTCTTGCCACAAAGCATTCGCATCTCCAGGGCGGTAAATTCCTTTGTATATTTGTCTCCCCCTCCCCCGCCCCAGACCTGAGTCTGCAGATCCTTATGGACCTTTGCCGGAGTGCCAGGAGCCGGAACATTGGCATCTTCCACCCATCTTTCAGTGCGGGCAGGAGCATCCGAGAAAACCTCCACAGACACCTTCCAGCCAACGTCCACCAGCTCATCTCCGGGAAGATGTTCATCTCGCTCACCAGAGTGTCGGACGGGGAGAACGTGCTGGTGTCTGATTTTCAGTCCAAAGATGAAGTCGTGGATGTAAGCAGTTTGCTTCTCCGGGTGTTGTCGAGTAAGAAAGCCTGTTTCGTTTTGGAAGACACAGAGAGGGCTGTCATAGGCCACCTGCCCTGTTTCTTAAGATGCAGAAGAACCTGGTGGCCCGTGATGCTGGTTGGCTTCCTGCACCAGTGATGTGAACTCCGTGTGCATCTGGCGGTCCAGTCCGTAGCATGTGTAAACCCTAAGTGTTCCAGGACAGTTTCAATTTCAAATAACGCCTCCCTATCCTTCAAGACTCAGCTCATGACCTCTGTCATGAGTGTGTCCCTCCTCCCAATGACACATGTTCCTCAATGAGGCCACCTTGAGTGAAGCCTCACAAGCATGGGAACATGCCTTATTTGCCTCTGTCCTCAGGGTCTCACACGGAGATCATTTGCAATATCTAAAAACCATTTAATTTGGCTGATGCGTTTTATGAGAATTCCTTGACTACATTTCACTTGGCACAGGTCTATACGTGATGGCAGCCTGGCACATATAACCAGCAGCACCTCCGCAGCCAGTGTCATCCTCCATTTAATCTTGTTTCCAGAAGCTCTCTGTAGACAGCGCTTGTCCAGTCCCCCATGAGTCCGTTCTCTGAGTGAATCAGTGTTGTGTCATGCTTAGTGCTTTCTAGCACAGTGCTACTCAAAGTGTGGTCCTTGTACCAGCAGCTTCAGCAGCCCCTGGGAGCTTGCTAGAATTGCAGGTTCTCAGGCCTCACCTCTGACCTATGATATCTGAGTCCCAGGAGTAGGATGCAGAGGCTGTGGTTCAACAAGCCTTCCAGGTGGTTCTAATGAATGTCAGCATTTGCGAAGCCCTGATCTAGTCCCTTCCCAGTCAGCGAGTTGACAACACTTGGTCCTATCTGCGACGGCCCAGGGCCACTCTCGTGGGGAGCAGGGGCAGGAAGTTGACGTCCACAGACAGTGTGATTAAGGAGCTTATCCTTAGGCCTGTAATACAAGTGTGTAGGTTGGTTCATTGTTCATTCAACTCATTTATTAAAGCGCCTACTCTGTGCACAGAGCATTTTCAGGCTTGTTGCTCTGCTCACTTGGAGGAGGCTCGTCAAGGCCCAGGGGAATAAAGGGCACCTGTTGTGGCCTGTGGGTTCACTCCCTTTTGTCTTCACAGGCCTTGCTGTGTTCCTCCTTCATCCCTTTCTACGTTGGCTTAATCCCTCCTTCCTTCAGAGGCGTGGTGAGTCCGCTTTTAGACTGTGTTTGCATGGCTCCTGCCTGCAGGGCACTAGGCTCAGGCACCCTGGACCTGTCCCCAAATGCAGAACCTTTTGCCTTGCAGCCTTTCAGACAGAGATTCCATGGCTGAGCCCCCTTCCAGGCAGGCTGGGCAGCCAAACCAGCTTCATGTAGAATCAGTTATCTGGCTCTCTGTAAGGGAAGCTGGTCCTCTTAATCTTCACCTGCGCACTAAAGATAGGTTCCCAATGGCCTAGGTAAAGTATAAGACGCTTAAGAATCGGTTACTTGCTTCAGGTAGAGCTTATTCTCAGGGGTTGAGAGTTTCAGTCCCCACTGGGTCTGGCTCTGTCCTTTTCAGCCCGTGGCTTTGGGCAGAAGCCGCCAACAGTGCTGTGATTTGGTTCCATTCAGCAAATTTGTGTTTTGGCTGATGCCTGGGCCCTGCCTGGAGTGGAGCAACTGAAGTTGAGGTGTCTGTTCTGAAGGCTCTGGGCCAGACACTGGGCTATGCTGGACCACTGGGCGGCCACCCTGTAGGGCAGCGGTTATCAACCAAAAATGATTCTGTCCCTCCACTTGGATACCTGTCAATGTCTGAGACAGTTTAGGTTGTCACAGTGGGGGATGCTACTGGGATCTAGTGTAGAGGCCAGGGATGATACTCAGCATCCTACAGTGCACAGGACAGCCCTCTCAACAAAGAGTCATCTGACCCCAAATGTCCGTAGTGCCAAGCTGAGAATCCCCGTCTAGGGAGAGAAGATACGACATCCTAACGTCTCAGAGCAGAAAGGCACTGTAGAAGCCCTCTCGGTTGACGCTTTAAGAGCCGTGCCATCCTCACATTGCAGAGCGAGTTGCAGAGGCAGGTTACACTTAGCCTCGCTTGTGCTCCAGAGCAACCCCATGACAGACACACTGTTGTCCCTATTTACAGACGAGAAAACTGAGGCCAGGAGCAATGTAGTGGTCACCCCAAATTCTCAGCCTCTGCCTGGCAGACAAACCTAGAGTTGAATCTCTGCTCTGGCAAGTGTTAGCTGGGCCTCTTAGGACACGTTTCTTAACCTCTCTGAGATTGATCTGCAAAATGAGGATTAAGAATAGTGCAGTATCATAAAGTTGTTGTGGGAATTACGTGAGATACTGCAGTCAGGTGCTGAGCACAGAGCCTGGTACCTGTAAGTCATCGGTAAATGAGGGTTATTTCATCCTTATTGTTGTTGTTATCTTTCCACTTCCCTGTAGTGGGTACACAGTCACCCATTCAGTAGACTCAGCGGAAACCTGCTGAAAATTAGAACAGATCATTCTTGAGATTCCACCGAGCAAACTCAGAACGTTACCATAGAAACATTCAGAGTGGAAGGAAAAATTCTATATGACGGGGAATAATTGGATTTAGACTACCCCTTGAGTGAAAAATAGTCAACCAAAAATAGTCCTCCCTCCTCAGTCTTAACTAAAGATTCCTGACATGTGGTCCCTTGCTGCCAGTGAGGTTCTGATGCGTGCCTACATCTTCCATAGAAATTGTGTGGCTACAATTTTGAAAATACTCTCTGTCTGCATCTGCTCATTTTTGGACTCAAGGCAAGAATCTCTCGACGGCTAAGGCATGGCTGAACGTGCCTGATTCTTTTCGGACTTGTCTGAGGCCAAGCTGTGCCCTGAGATTTCTCCCTTTGGAAGGATTGGCTGGGGACCATCCTCCCGCTATCATATTTGAAGGCCTTTTTCTGTGGGTGCCGACGGCTGGGCCGTGATGGTCGTGGGTTTGGGAATCGTTCTGACACTGGTTTGATAGATGCGGACTCTGTCCAAATTGTTCCAAAACCTGCCTGCCCCAGCCCGAGGTTGTTTAAGGATATGGATGCAGGAAAACTGATGCTCACAGTAACTCATCCCAAATGCCACTTAGTTGTGGGATAAGAGGACATTTTCTGGGGCCTGTCCAGCTCCCAGGTTCACTGTTTCCTTTAAGTCTCCAAACCCCTCAAGGTGTTGGGTCTCATTTTCAAGGTGTGGACAGATTCAGGCTTACAGGTTAAGTGTCTTGTCCAGGATTTCCCAAGCAGCAAGGGGGGTCTGGAATGGAACCCATGACCATCTGTCTCCTTTAGGGCAGAGTCTGCATCACACTCTGTCCCCAGTACACACAGACCCCTGGTCCATATGGCCCCTTTATTCAAATTACATGGGCATGCCTATGGGTGCCCGCCGGGGCTTAGAACTTGGCCAGCACAACATGGGCTGGACTGCAGCCTCCATCTGCCTCTTTGCCAGGCACTTTTTGTGCAGTGCACAAACTACACAACAGTATATAGCAACCCTGAGTACCAGCGTAGATCCTGGCCTGGCACAGAAGTGCTTAGTCAGGATTTGTTGAAAGAGTATTCCAAAGTGCTCTCTTTCCGCTGTACCAGCCTACGGCTCTGAGAAGCCTCTGCCCGTAATCTGAAAAACAGAAAACACCAGCCCAGAGCTGCTGACAGTATGTCCTTTTTTTCCTCCCTTAAAAGCGATACGTGGATGGAGGAGTGAGTAATAATATGCCCTTCTTTGATGCAAAAACGACCATCACTGTGTCCCCCTTCTATGGGGAGTGTGACATCTGCCCTAAAGCCTTGTCCACGAACTTTCTCTACATGGACTTCACCAAGCTCAGTGTGCGCCTCTGTTCAGAGAATGTCTACCTTATGTTACGAGCGCTGTTCCCTCCGGATCTCAAGGTGAGCGGGGGGCTGTGTGTTCTGGGGGTCCAGCTCTTCTTTGCTTCCCTCTTTGCCAGGAGATCTCCCAGTCGTTCTCTACGCAAACAAACAGACCCATCATTGAAGAGGAGCTCAGGGAGGGGTTGCTTGTTCCAGAAGCTCCGTGCTGCCCCACGTGGATCATGGGAATTGCCAGGGAACATTTAAACAGCTGCTGCTCAGATCCCCCTTCCAGGAGCTGTGGTTTAAGTAGTTAGGGGTGCAGCCTGGGCACTAGGATTTTTTTTAAGTTACCTGGATGATTCTTTTTTGCTTTTTTTTTTTTGCTGGGAAAGATTCGCCATGAGCTAACATCTGTTGCCAATCTTCCTCCCCGCCCCCGCAAGCCCCAGTACATAGTTGTATATTCTAGTTGTAAGTCCTTCTAGTTCTTCTGTGTGAGCCGCCACCACAGCATGGCTACCAACAGACGAGAGGTGTAGTTCGTGCCTGGGAACCGAACCCAGGCCACCAAAGTGGCGGGTGCCAAGCTTTAACCGCTAGGCCATCAGGGCTGGCTCTGTTGATTCTTATTTGCAGCCATGGTCCAGAACCACACTGCATGTGGTGGTTTAATCTTTTTTGATTGTTGTTGTTTTAGTAGGCCCTACCGCCCTAACATAGTAAGAAAACGTGTAGACTGTGGACGCTCACAGTTCTCTGGGGAGAAAGAAGGCTATACCATGCAATGTACGCCAACAGCGTGTGCTCCGGAGAGAGGGAAGGCTGTCCGACAGATCTGGTTTGCCTGTGTGGTTCGTATGCAGACAAGGAGGCAGCTGTTATTGTCCCGGTGACAACTAGAAAAGGCCCCAATACTTGTTAGGGTGGAGGCCCATCAAGGGACCAAGGGAAACCTGCACCTGTCGTGCCAGGGCGCCAGCGAAGGCTCCACGGAGGGGATGCCGTTCCAGCCGAGTCTCGCAGGAGAGTGGGGCTGCCACCTCCCAGGAGCACAGAGCCGCCTGTCCAGCCCTGCGTGGCTGTGCCCGGCACACAGGAGGGGCTCAGAGCTGGGAGGCTTCCTCAGCTTGTCTGTGCAGTCCTCTGGGGATATGTAGATGAATGGTGCTGAGTGAACCAGCCCCTGCAGTTAACTTCCTTGATTTGCTTACAGGTGCTTGGAGCGCTATGCCTTCAGGGGTATTTAGACGCGGTCAGGTTCTTGGAGGAGAAGGGTATGTATGGGCGAGGGGAATAGACGTGGGTTCTTGTTAGCAGTCTTGGTAAAGCGGAGGTTGCTGTTATTTATGTCACTCCGTGCTCAGCACCGTCACCTACCATCTTGCTCAGCCCACTCACTCATTAACCCCGTGTGATAGGAAATCTTTGCCCCATTTTACAGATCTGTTTTTCTATTCTGCTTGAACTACCGTGAACCTTTAGTTTAACAAGGGCTGACTTTACACGGTTTCTGATGAGCCAGGGCCCCAAAGGAAGCACTCCGAATAGCTGTCACCAGCCAGGTGTGGGTCCCACCCACTGGACCTGTTGTCCTTTCTGGGGTAGTTCTTGCCTTGGAGTCACCCTGACTTGTCCAGGCTGCAGGAGTTGGGCTTTCGAAATATTAGGGTGGAACAACTATTAGATGTGCTTGGGCTAGTTTTCATCAATACTAGAAGTTGGTTCATGTATTGATCCTCTGAATTAGTCTTTGGCCAAGACCAAGGAGACAGCATGGCTTAAAGGGCATGTGTGTATTTATCTACTCAGAAAATGTTTGCTGTGCACCTTTTGGTGCCGAGCAGTTGGCTCTGCGGCAGGGATCCTGCAGTGGACAGAGAGGTGTGGCCCCGGCCCTCCCAGAGCTTACAGTCCTGTGGTAAGGCAGGCAGATGAGTAAGTAGAAGGATGATGGTGTGCAGTGCCCTGCGGGAAGATAGAGGACGCTATAGGATCACACAGTAGGGGTCTGCAAGGCATGAGGAAAGTAGGGCTTCCAGAAGATATATATTCATGTTGAGACTTTGGGGGTGGCTAGGAGCATTCTAGCATGTGGGACGGGGGGTGAGACCTACAGGCAACAGACTTCAGCCTGTTGGACAGAAAGAAGGCCTGTGTAACTGGAGTAGTGGGCGTGGGGGACGCTGAGAGATGGACAGAGAGGAGAGGGGCAGGGATGGTGATAAATGAAAAGTGGAGGGGCAAGCCTGGGCCTTGTGGACATGGGGAGGAGTTTGTGTCCCGCAGCCATAGGGAGCCATTGAGGGTGCTGAAGCAGGAGTGAGGGAGGTCCGAGGAGAGCTTTGGATGGCCCCCGTGGCTGCAGTATGGAGAGGGCGAGACCAGCACCCAGGAGGCTGACGAGGCAGCCAGGGTTGGGGCAGCGAGAATGGTGGAAGGGGCCCAAGAGTTCAGGACTTGGAGGTGACTAACCAGAGATTTGGGCAGAGGAAGGCTCAAGGATGAAGTCCTGGCTTCTGGCTTCAGTAGCTGGGGCTGGAGAGAGGGGGCTTGGCTCACAGGTTCAGGGCACCTGGGAGGGAGTGGGTTCTGCTGGAAAGCCCAGTGTCAGAGTGCAGAGTTCTGGGGAGCAGTCTGGACTGGGGATGAAATTTGGGGGCAGTCTAGGAATAAATGACCACAGTGAACTCCGTGGGGCCGGACTCTGGTTGCTCAGTGACTTTCCTAACTCGCTGACTTGGGACAAGCCACCTGCCCTCCCTGGGCCTCCGTTTCCACATCTGTAGCCAGGGGTGTTCAGATTGCATGATGTCCAGGTCGTTCTTAGTAATTCTAAAGACTGGTGTGGGGCTGAGCACTTGCAGCATCTGTGTTGGGTTTGGGTTTAAAGATCTCAGCCAGGTCCTTGGGCCAGGCTAGCTTCCCCGGGGTCCTGCAGGGGACACGTGGGGGTGGGGTAGGTGTCCTCGGGGAACAGAGTCTGTGAAACATACCCAAGGGACTGTCAAGTTCCGGAGGGTGAGCAGCATGTCTAACAGAGGCCAGAGGATCCAGGGGGTTACAAATGGGAGGTGTAACCTAGGGAGCAAGGTGCGGGCATCCAGGAGCAGCCCCTGGTCTTTTTAACCTGAGGTTGGAAGCAAGAGGTGAGCCAGGGGCAGCTGTGGGCATCTGAAACTACTTGTCCCCCGTCCCCACCCAGCGTGCCAATTCCATGAGAGCAGGAACCACTTGCTGTGCCAGCTACCGAGCCCCAGTGCATGCACAAACTCCCTCACCTGATGCTTCTCTCAAGGCATGTGATGGAAGCCTGACATCAGAGCTAGGTTCAAATTCTGCTCTGTCACTTATTGGCTGTGTGGCTTTGGATGAATCTCTTAACCTCTCTGTGCTTCTGATTCCTCAATTGAAAAGTAGAGATGATGATAATGGTAGCAGTTGAATGGTTGCTGCAAGGCCTGACCATGAAGTTCCTAACTCGGGCTGGAATGCAGGCCAAACCAGTGGTTCAGTTATTACAAATTAGTTATGTTCCTTGTATTTCAGTCTCATGAATCCACATGTGGCTCTGGAGCCCACACAGCTAGACAGGGATTGAGCCAGAAGCCAAACCCACATCTGTCTGGCTTCATAGCCCCACACTTCTTTCACCCTGTGACAAAGCCCTACCCTCGCCCTGTCCCCGCCTTGTACTTAGCTCAGAACAGGCTGCAGCTTCCCTGTTAGTTGCTTGCCTCCCCTATCCACCTGCGGGTGCGTGGGCGGTAATGAGCCCCTGCTGCCCAGATGCGCCTGATGGGTTGTTTTCTGTGCCCACCGTAGGCATCTGTAACAGGCCCCATCTGTACCGGATTTTATCTTCCCAAGAGCCGGAGGTCCTCGCGTCCCTGCGGGAACACACGAGCCTGGAGTCTGCCCCAGGCATCACCACTGGGGAGATGAGTCCTGAGGGAGATGAGCTGCTGGACCACCTGCGTCTCAGCATCCAGCACTGGGACGAGAGCATCCTGGAGACCCTGTCGCCCAAGCTCACTATAGGTGCCGGCTCCTCAGGGGGCAGGACGGCAGAGGGTGTTGTTTTCTGTGACTCTTTGAGAGACTGAAAGGGCTTCTCTGCTGTGTTATGAAGGAAGAGATGAGGCAGAGTGACAGGGCAGGCCCTTTGGGGCCCCCACCTCCTAGCACAGGCCTCCCGTTCACCCAGGCATCTTGCTCAGTTTCCCTTCCCATGGGAAGGGGTCAAGGCCAGAGGGCAACTCCAGCTGAGTCTGTTTTGAGTTAACCAGACACACTCTCAGCTCCTAGGGTCCGGGCACACTGGATTTCGGGGGCCCCAGGGGCGGGCCCATTCTTTCAGAACACGTTCTCTGCCTGTCTTTCCCTCTCAAAGCTTTCTTTCTCAAGGGGCCTCTCCTGATTTCCTCCTCCCCCCAAACCCACAATTTTGAACCTTCACTGAACGGTGGTATATTGTATCATGTCATCAACTATTAGATGGACAGATGAGAGCACAAACCAGCTTCCGATCAGGCATTCGGAAAAATTCAAAGATGATCGGGACACCATTCCTTGCCCCTGAGGCACTGGCGCCCGAGGAGCTGCACAAACCAGCAGCTGCCGAGGTTCACGTGATTTGAGGCGTCATGAGGTCTTTACAAAGGGGAAATAGAAGGCCAGGGGGTTCCAGGCAGGAGATGGAATCCACTGAAGGTACAAGGAAAAGCAAAGAAAGCAGGTGGACTGTTTGAGAAGTTTATGAAACGCCTCCAAAAATAGTTGTCAATTTAAAAGAAAGTCGTTAATTGGGAACCCTGTGTCCTGTGGCTGTTCTGGGCACATTCCCCGTTTGATCTGATTTGCGAATGCTTCTGATTTTTGGGCTGCCAGGGTTTGTGTATTTCATAGAAATTCCCAGCACCACCATGGTATGGTGGTTGGGTTTTCCCGCTGGTGAGAGGTAGACCTCCAAATTGTCTTTTTCAGCGCTGAGTGAAGCAGTGAAACACCGAGCTGGATACATGAGCAAGATTTGCAACTTCCTACCGATTAAGGTGATGTCCTATGTCATGCTGCCCTGCACGCTCCCCGTGGAGTACACGATCGCCGTGATCCACAGGTGAGTGTTTCCCGTGGCCTGTGTCTTCCTCATGGGGCTGGGTGAGGACTAAGTGAGAGGCCCTCTCCCTGGGGCTGGGCTCCTTGTGCAGCGGGAAGGAGCTCCCGGTTCTGTAAGGGACGCCCCTGAGAGGAGCCTCAGTGGCGAGCCCCTGCCCATCCCACCTCCTTTCTCATTGCCGGTATAGGTTTGTCACTTCTTGTAGGTCTGTTCTTTTATTGGGGGGTGTTATTCCCGGTTTGTTGGGAAGGATGTGAGGCAAATGCCTGTGCGTGCCAGAATCCTGGGCATCTGTCTTACCTCAGCATTTTGCAGACTTACTTTGGTGTTGACTTTCTTTTTAGCGAGTTGGTCCAGCTTGCCCTTCAGTCCATCTTTTAAAGCCCACCCCATCCTTCCAAATCCAGCTCAGCTCTCCGGCCCTTGGTGGACCTTCCCAGAGCCCTTCCCCGCCCCACCGAATTAGCCGCCTGCTCCCTGCACCGCCTTGCCCTGGGTGGAGGTCTGTTCAGGCATTTATCAAAGCCCACAATGTGGGAGTTGGTGGAGGGCAGCGGTCAGGCCTCCTTGGCGCTTCCTCCACTGGGCCCGCTTGTGGCCAAGCACAGCAGGGCTGGGTGGGGGGATGGTATCTCGACTACAAGATTCTCTGTGTCAGGGGCATCGTGCCACAGACACGTAGGATCCTGGAAAACCAAGACCTTTTATTTCCGTGTAAATCCTTGAGTTTCCCTGAATCAGAAGTGGCCTAACTTTGCTTTAGGGCTTTTAAGTAGGCTTTTAAGTAGGCATAACATCCCAAATCCACCCTCTAGGAATTTATCAGATTGGGATTAGAAGTGACCCTGACATTTTACCAGGCAGAGGGTGTTATTGTACGAGATCTGCCTTTTGTTTGGTTTTTGTTCTGTTTGTGTTGGCTTGTCTTCACACTGATGCGATGTCTGTGTGCCTTGGTTTTATTCCTACAGACTAGTGACGTGGCTTCCGGATATTCCTGACGACATCCAGTGGCTGCAGCAGATAACCTCCCAGATTTGTTCTCGAGTGATGACGCGTCTGCTCCCCACGTCCAGGTAGATGATTTGGCTGTGGGTGTGTGGGTCTGACAGGCACCCCTTTCATCCCATCAGGCCTCATGTGCCATTCTAGAGATACCACTGGGCGCCGGACGGGTGGGAAGGAGTTTATCCTTTAGTGCAGGGGGCCCTGTCTTGTGGGAGGCAGCTGAGTAAAGCAGAGGTCCCTGTGCGTCTGCTGAAAGCTCACGCAGACCTGCCTGCGCAGGGGGCTATGGAGTGGGAAGGCGCGGGGCAGTGTGGCCGTTGGAGCCCGGTTTTGATGGCAGAGCTGAGAGCTGGATGATAAGGCAGGGGAGGGGCAGAGGGGACGGGTGCAGGTCAGGGAACGTCACACAGCATTGGTTTGCCTGAGGGAAGGACCTCTGGATCACTGCAGCCCAGGGAGGGGGTGAGGGCATGGAGCCAGAGGCAGGACCAGGCCAGCTTCCTGTGTGCACTGGGGACGGGGTGCTTGTTAGTGCAGATTCCCCACCGACCTCAGACTTGCTGCCTCCCGGTCTTGGTGTGGAGTCCTGCCATCTGCCTTGTTAACATGGCCCAGGTGGGCTGCTTCTCTCTGAATTCTGAAAACTGATTCAGAGCAAGGCGGCCTTCATTCCAGTTACGAGGGTGGGATCTTATCCTGAAAATCGTGGGCCTCAGCTTCTCACCTGTTCAATGGGGCTGACCCTCATCTCCTCATTGGGTTTCTCTGAGGCTTTTGGGAGCCCCTGGCACAGTACTGGACACATGGTGGGCACTCAGGAGACGGGGCCTCAGTTGTTACTGCTATTGGCAGACATGGAAAGGTTTAAGTAGGGAGTGGAAGGGTCTGGTCTGCACTGGGAAATGAGTGGAGTGGCCATGGGGAGGAGGCTGCATCATGGGGCCTGACTGGCAGCAGGCTCCACGGCAAGAGGGCAGCTGCACTGGCCTAGGCGAGGACAAGGGGGCCTGTTCTCACAGGCCTGAGAGGTGGGGACTGAGAGGTGTCCATAGGCTCCAGGGCCAGAAGGAGGTACCAGCTGCAAGCCCTGGGGCCTACTCTCATCCCAAGGGAATGGGACAGCCAGTGAGGAGGAGGAGGCCTGGGGGATGGAGGTGCAGGCTGTGGAAGGGCACCCTGGCGGGCGAGCTGGTTTGTGTGGGGGAAACTGATGGGCTCCATCATGCCTGTGGATATCCAGTGGGAGGTGGCCAGGTGGCTGGAAGGGCCACAGGCTTGGAGGCCCCAGATGGTGACATCAGCCCAGCACTGAGGGGCAGAGGAAGCTGTGGCTTTGGGCTGGGCCGCCCAGCAGTGCCCAGAGTGTGCAGGGTGGTACAGTCAGCGTTGGCCAGCAGTGTTCATCCGTCCTCACTGAGATGGAAGACCTCAGAGTGGCAGGGCAGCAGCTGAGTTAGTGTTCTTCACTTGTTTCAGATCCCAAACGCTGGCAAGCAGCCAACAGCCCCCGCCCCAACAGAAACCAGAACACAATGGGCACTACTGGCCTCCCCACCCCGCGGTGGACCCGGATGCCGCCCTGTGGACAGTCCAGTAGAGGCCAAAGCCGAGGCTGCCCGGCAATCCATCTTCTAGTCCAGCCTGACCTCCTGTAGCAGAGTGTCTGCGGGGTGGGGAGGGCCTGCCCCTTCCCCATGTTTCCAGTGGAGAAGAGTTTCTGAGTCATTTGAGGAGGCAAGTCTAGGACGTTCTTTCAGAGGTGCTAGACCCTTGCGATCTTTGTGCAGCTACCTCTGCAGGGCCTTTTAGTGCCCCGTGGCAGTGACCTACAGAGTCCGGCCTCTGTGCTGAATTTATGGTTTATTGAAACCAAAGGCAATCAATTTTGTTATTATGAAAAGCTACTAAGCTCTTTGGGTGTACATGGTGGTTCAGAGCTTAAGGAAACCTATTATTTAAGCATCTGAGTCAGTGAGCTCAGTTGGTTGAGAAACGGCTCCAGGAAGCCCCACGTGGAGGGTCCGTGGCCGACTCTGTCTTGCAGCCCTCTCCACCGTCCTGGCGGCGCGAGGTTCCTAGGATGGCCAGTGTTTGGATGGAGGGGAACCTATGGCTGGGGGCTGGGCTGCCCTTTGTGCAGTCTCGGGGTTTGGAAGGAAGAGAGAAGGGTGACCCCATCTCCCCGTACAGGAATCTGTCAGTGCTGTGGGAGGGGGTGCCATCCTTCTCCAAGGAGGGCACTGCCAGTCAGAAGGCATTAAAATAACTTATTTGCATTTTGGAACACCTTCTTGACCTAGCCTAAATATTTGATAAAGAGTTTTATATAAAATATAAGGACATCTTATTATCTGTTGAATTATGTAATATGTGAATCAGTGAGATTAACAGAATAAGCCTTAAAAGAAAATCTGGTGCATCAACAGTCACCTCGGCCCCCCAGGCGGGAGCCCAACACAACAGCAGAGCTTCTGTCCGTGCTTGTTTTCCTCACTCCCTTCTCCCTGTCCTCTCTACTCCCACAGCCTTAATGCAGACAAGCAAGAGACAGCGACCTGCCTTCTCCCCGGGTGTGGTAATTTGTTGGCAGGCACAGTGGAATGGGACTCAAGGTGAAATGTGTGTGTCTATTTTTCTTACTTATGCATTCAAGTATTACAAAAAGAAAAGAAACAATGGTAAGCTCAAAATCCTAAATGCTGGCACAGAAAGCTGCTACTTCCACCTACTTTGTGTAAGTATCCTGGAGTCGAAGAACCAGCAAGTTCAGACCAACTAATCTATTGCAAAGATGGCGCTCTTAAAAAAAGAATGTGGGGGGCCAGCCTGGTGGTGTAGTGGTTAAGTTCGTGCGCTCCACTTCGGCGGCCCAGGGTTCGCAGGTTCAAATCCCAGGCGGGGACCAACATACCACTCATCAAGCAAAAAGAAAAAGATAGGCAACGGATGTTGGCTCAGGGCCAATCTTCCTCACCCCAAAAAAGAAAAAAAAAAAGAATGTGGTTCTAGGGGCAAACTCTATATGAGCCTGTTCTCTTGAGCTGTGATGAGATGGTGAACTCCTAGAAGGCAGGGACTGCTTGTGAAAATATGGGGTCATCGCCTAGCGCATGGAAGCCTCCCTTTGGGGCTCCTTGCATCTCCAGGGGCCTTCTATTCTGGTGGCACTCACCGCCTAAGTGAGGTAAGGGCTGGTGAGTGGTGGGCTCCTCCAGCCACCTGGGCCTCAGACCTGTCCCCTTGCTGAGCTGGCCTGAGGGTGGGGGAGGCCATGCCTGACCCCCACCTGGACTCCTGAGAACATACCCTCACACCTTCCCCTGAGCTCCCGACTCTCAGGTCTCCCAGTTATCTGTCGTCTGTTGGAACCACAGCATAGGTCACTAGCACATATGACCACACATGAGCTGTATTTTACAGTAACCAACATGTTTCTGTACAGACATATACACTAGTTCGGTAATTGTTATTAGGAAAGAAATATGTGAAATGGCTGATAGGATTACATGGGACTTACTTTCCTACTACTTTTTGAAATTGTTCAACCTTCTTACAATGAGCGTATATTCTATAATTTTTTAAAAATGTCTCCTAAGACAAGGAGGTATAACACTCTTAGAAATGGCCAAGGCTTCCCTCCTGGCCTGTGCCTTAAATGGCACCCCATGCCCACTCCCCCTGCCCCTGCACCTCCCCAGCACTGCTGGGGTTTCTCCTCAGCATAGAAGAACAATCTTAAGTTTCCCCTACCTTACCTAATAAAACGCTCCCTCTATTTATGGTCCATTTACGCTTTGGAATACTCCACTACCAGGAATGATCAGTGTGTGGTCTATTTAATGCCAGGGAGCAACAGTCTATTTGGTAAACAGCAAAACCTGGTGCGGAGCACAATCCCAGTTAAAACAAGAAATGTGTGGGTGTGTATATGTGTATATACAGAAAAAAGACTGAAAGGATACATACCAAAGTACTGATAGTGGTTATCATTATGCCAATAATTATATTTGATTTGTTGTGCTGATATATGTTTTCCAAATTCCTATGGTGAACATGGATTACTTTCATCAGAAAATAACTCATAATAAATGTGATTTTTAAAACGCTTTCCCGCGTCTCTGCATCTTTTCCAAGGGCTGTGGCGTTGCTTCTCTTCCCTCGCCGCCAAACTCCCTGAAAACACCCCCTTCCTCAAGGTTTATGGCCCCACCAGGCCTGGGGGCCTCCACATGCTCTGTCTGGACACTGTGGACCAGACTTGCCCTGAATCCCTCTCCTTCCTCTGGGACCCTAGACTCTTCTCCATCCTGAGAGCTGGGCTTTTCCCCAAGGCCCAGACGTGCCTGCTCTCCTGAGAGTTCACAGCTGCTCCTGGGAGGCCTCACTGGCTCCCAGGACCCCCCAGTCTCTGGCTCAGGTGAGGGTCGGGCCCACCAACCCCCCGCCAGCTCCCCCTGGCCATCCGTGAGCAGCACCCCAACGTAACCCCTCCAGTGCAGAGCTCCTCAGCTCTCTCATCAGCTGCCCTGTGTCTGTCAGCTCCCAGTCACCCGAGCCAGGAACCAGGGACTCATGGAACCCGTCCTTCCTCCCTCCTCCAGCTGGCCCCAGTCCTGCCACATCCACCTCCACTTAAAGGTCCCTGGAATGCAGCCTCTTGTCCCCTGCCCGCTGACCCTGGCTGCTGCAGCAACGTCCCAGCGGGTGGGGCGCCGCCTGTAACCTGCCTGGGGCAGTCCGTAGGCCCAGACCTCGTCCAGTCCCTCCCACGGCCTCAGCCCCCAGAAGCTGCTTCCCTCCTGCCTCCCCAGGCCTCACCCCCGACACACACACACATCCAGTGTGCAGTTCCAGCAGAGGCTCAGGGCCTCATCCTCCAGTCGCCCCCCTGCACACCCTGGGCCCCCACCTTGTAGAGTGCCCTCCCCGTGCTCCCTCCTCTCACCGGCTCACCTTCACTCCTCAGGTGCTGGGAGAGGTAGCGCTGGGAGACAGGTGAGGAGGAAAGGGACAAAGAAACAAGGGTGGCGGTCCCTGGGAGCCCATGCCACAGGGTGTCCCAAACTAAGAGGTGGGTGACCTCTGTGGGCATCTGTGGGAAGACCCAGCATCCCTTCCTCATGACCTCTGAGATTGGGGTTTGATTTTATTAGGGGAACCAGGGGAGTCACTAAACGGCCTTTCAGCTTGTGATGGGACCAGATCAACACTTGATAAACCAAGTTTTCTAGAATGCTGGCGTCTTGCAAATGTCACCAGCTGATCTGATCAGTTAGGACTGGCCGGGTTATGCTGCATTTAACAAAGACTCCCAAAAGGTTTATTTCTCACTCATGCTACATGCCCATCAGACTTGGCTGGCCCAGCCCAAACTGTCCCACCATCTGGAGGGTCACTGATCGCTGTTCTTTTTTTTGGTGGGGGGGAGGGAAGAAATGCTGCGCTTAAAGGTTTTCATCCAGAAGTGACACCTATCCCTTCTGCTCACAACATGTTGACCAAAGCAAGTCACAAGGATGGGGGCTGGGAAATGCAATTCTACCTTTTGTCCAAAAAAGGAGCACCGGAAATGCTGGGGAACAGCACCCCTGAAGGCCACAGAAAGCCTCAACAACCCATAACAAAGTCTCCATGACCAATAAATTCAGGAAATACTGGGTTAAAGACAGTCAAACAGGTCTATGTACTGCAGGACTTCTCAGAGCCTTTAATATGCTAATGTACATTGTGACTGTCAGAGATGGTGTCTGAGGGTAAAGCTGTGACTTTGTGTTCCTGATGTATCCTCTGTCACCCTGGCCCAGTGCCTTTGACACAACAGGCTCTCAAATATTTGGCTCAGGACTCTTGTTGCAATCTGCAGGTCAACCTCATGGTTTATCTTTAAGAGGCTTCCTCAGGAAGATAATCCAGTTTATTAAATGTTGACAATGTGCCAGGCCCCATGCTTTATCTCATTAAAACCTCAGTACACCATTATGCCTCAGGAACTGCTATCAACCTCATTTTACAGATGAGAACACTGAGGCTCAGGGAACTGGCAGAATGAATTTCGAATAAGTGTCCTGCTTGTGTGATTTGTGCTTAAAATTTGCTCAGTCTCCTAGATTATCTTTGGAAATCTCTGTCACAGTTTTCACACCTAAAATAGCCTTTTAAGTCTGAGCTAGGGGTCAGCGAAACCCCAAAAGTCTCACTTCGGTGGCCAGGAGCAGGTTTCTGGGGCCCCAGGAGCTGGGAAGACAGGTGGATAGGTCAACCTGCAAGGGTTGCGGTGAGGGAAGGATAGGGCCCTGGCAAGTGCTGACTTCTGCCTCTATCTGGGCAAGAAAGGAAATGTGGGCTTTGAATTTTACCCCAGCGATGCTGGAGGCTTAGGGTGCTGCTATTTAAATGCAAAGACTGTCAGGGTCTCTGGGAGGAGGGGGGAGAAGAAAAGCAAGTGAAATGATACTCTGTTATCAGCAGCGGGTGGAAACAGTGGAAACATAAGTCCACACGATACTGACAATCCTTCTCCTCTCATTTGTTTCCCTCATTGCATTTATCACAATGTAACTATTACTTATTACATATTATTATATGCCGTTTTTTCCACAGAGGGAGCTGTTGCCGCCACCAAAATAGAGCCCCAAGGCTGTCTCGTTCTCCTCTG